TGCCCATCAGCGCCAGCTCATCAGTGCTGCCTGTCAGTGCCACCTATCAGTGCCGACTATCAGTGCCCATCAGTGCCTCCTATCCGTGCTACCTCATCAGTGCTGCTTATGTGCCCATCAGTGCCGCCTATCACTGCCCATCAGTGCTGCCTATCAGTGCAGCCTCATCAACGCACATCAGTGAAGGAGATAAATGACCTGTTTGCAAAATTTTATAATAGAAAACACAGAAACACTTTTTTTTTCAAATATTTTGCAATTTTTTTGTTTATAGCACAAAAAATATAAAACACCCAGCGGCAAGTAAATACCACCAAAAGAAAGCTCTATTTGTGTGAAAAAAATTATAAACATTTCATATGGGTACAATGTTGCATAACCGTGCAGTTGTCATTCAAAGTGTGACAGCGCTGAAAGCTAAAAATTGGCCTGGTAAGGAAGGTAAGCAAGTGGTTAAACAGTATGGGCACTTATTTTAATGTTCTACATAGCTATACCTGCAAAAGGGGCCAGCATGAAGTGATCTAGTGTGACTTAATTTTATGACCAAAGTTCCACTTTAAAGTCCAACTCCCGGACCACTGAAAGGGTTAAATGTTTATTAAGTCTAGAAGTAAAGCAATAAAGAGTAACACTTTCCTATTCCTCTCTCCAGGAGGCTTCCTTTATCTATGTGACCAGTAACTCACAGCCTCCTCTTTAAGGAACTCCTGGTCATGGTTGCACAGTTGCCTCTTCTGCATACAATGAAGGCCTAATAGACCTGCATTGTATGTATTGACCCTGAGGGACCATACACAGTCCGGAGCATCAGGGAGAAGAGGAGATAGCCAGAGTCTGCCAGAGCAAGGGGCAAGGTAAGCATTACAGCATCTTCAACTAACCCCAAGAGTTAAGAAGCTTTTAACCCTTGCAGTTCAGGGATCCTAACCACAATGTTTTTCTTTTCCCATAACAGAGTTGGACTTTGAATCCTTTGCACATGCATGGCAGCTACATCTTCTTGGCCTAGCAAGTTAAGATGGCTGAAAATCACAAACCCAGAAGAAAGCCGTGGAAAGATGCTGCCATCAGTGGAAGAGCTTGCTGGTGTTGCATAGCTGGAGTGAAGGTGAGTATAGTTCCACTTTAACGAGGTTCTGCTTTTTGGTTTGTCTTGCACATAGACACTTATAATGATTTTAAGCATGTAAGGTTGATATCACTGTGGCAAAAAATACAGTGCTAGGAAGCTTTAGAACAGTGGTTTTCAACATAAGCAAGCTGTAGATGGTTAGAACTTCAGACGGTTAAGTAGGGGCTGGCCAAGATTCAAACCATCTATGGGCAGGCTGATTGTACCCAATTTGATTGTTGTATGACTTGGGTACAACTAGCCTGTTGGATCTTTCGTGCAATTAATGCCAGCAGCTATAGCTGCTAGCAACAATCAATGAGTTCTCCCAACAGGAACGGCTCCCCTAGCACCCCTCTGTTGATGAGGGAATCAAGCAATTTTCTTTCCTGCAATCTGTGGTTGAAGGAAAGAGATTTGCATTGTCTATGGCCAGCATTGCAAAGTATAGGAGACCTCAACTGTTGCCCTTGACACCTCAAAAGGTCTATGCATAATGCACAATATATGCAATGCTAAACAGGACTGTCAGAGACTGCAGACATACAGTATTAGAGAAAATGTTGATCAGAGACTGTGGACATGCTACAAGCTTGGTTGGAGGCTGGAGACATGCTGCAGTGAGAAACTGGGAGCATGTTACATGATAACACTAAAGATCACTGCTATTATCTTCTTAAAAATGCATGCTTCCACTACAGACTGCTGGGGACCAAGGGCAGCACAACAAATACCAAAAGCCCACATTTGATCCTCAGGCTGCAGGCTGAGCCCAAACTGCTTAGAACCTATCCTTAGTCCCTTTCTACTCAATGGTAGTTTGACAGAACAAGAAAACTCATCAAAGGGAACAAAGGCATCATTCTAAATCCTGCATAGGTTGTAAGCCTTCCCTACACTACCTAAAACTAAAAAGATAAGATTTTGGCTGGAGTTGGACTTTGAAGTTGAACTTTGTACAGAGATTAAAAAACACATATTAATGCACTTGTGTATTCACAAATTGTCTACTGTGTGTAAATAAAAGAAATATGCATGGTATCCATGAATACCCCCATATGGGAACATACCACCATCTCAATATATGTATATATGACAATCAATGAGACAGGTTTATTTTGGACTTTTTAAGTACTTTAAATGGTCCCAGACCAATATAAAACTTACATACTTTAGTCAGGGAATGCCTGTTAGACATTTGGCTCCCAGAAATGCTCATGTACGCAGCATTCTCAGCAGAATGGTGACCAGGCACACAGTGTATACCGCCAGACAGGCTATTTAAGGGTGCTTCTTCCCATGCTTAAGTGCTAACTGGTCTTTCAGCTGTTCCCCGTGTCCTGCTACTACTCTGCTTGTCCCTTTGCTGCTGACCCAGCTTGTCTCTGATCTGAACTTGGATCCTGCTTCTGTCTTGCGCCAGTTCCTGACCACGTTTCTACCTTATGATTCTGTACCTCACTGCCTGCCTTCTGCTGACCTCAGCTATTCCTATGACCATGCTTCTGTTCCTGGTTTTGTTCCCACGTCCAGTTCGAGTACGTACCTGGCTGTCATCTATACCAGCTCTGCTCACCACAGTACATTCCTGTCTCAAGACTGCTGGGAGCTCTGACAAGTCTTGCATTTGGAACCTGCAGCCCAGGTGGAGTTCCCCTTTAACTTCAGCTGGATCTCTGTGCACAGTTACTGTTCCTGACCTGATGTTCTACCAGCCTGCCCGGGACCGCATTGCCTGCTGCAAGTGCTCCTATCAACACCTGCTGGCATTTGTGTTCCTCCTGTCCCTCGGTACCCTCTGTTCCACTTTCAGCAGGACCTGGGCTGGAGATACAGGAGAATCCAACCTCCCCATTTCAGTGATGTGATGGAGTCTGAAAGGGAGGCCTCTCTGTACATTATTATTATTATTATACAGTATTTATAAAGCGCCAATAGTTCGCTCAGTGCTGTACATTACAAAGGGGGACAGAACATGTGACAGAACAATACCAATACAATGCAAAACATGAGGGGATCGAGGCCCTGCTCTTTCGAGCTTACAATCTAGGAGATGACCCTCTATTAAATGGTTACTGCACTATCCCAAGTCATGCTGGGGCTGCACGAGAACGTCACTCAAATGGACAATCAGTTACAATCCATTACTGGTACTTTTTCTTTCCCGGTCACCCCAGCTGTCAGAGACTCATCTGCTCAGACTGTGGCCTGTACGACCAGTAGTGGACCTCCACCATCCGAGCCCAGGGTGTCTCTCCTGAATGTTTTTCTAGAAATTTCTAGAACTCCTGTGAATTACATTTCTTTCTTCTACCTCAGACTTTCACATCTGAAGATGTTAAGGTGGGCATTCCTCATATTCCTGCTCCAGGAGGAACCTCAGGCCTGGACTCTTCATCTTTGAGAACAGTGTGAGCCTTCCTTGTCTTCAGTGAGTTCCTTTATCTCAGCTCTGGAATAGTGGCGCTATCTATTGGAGGGAGCAGCGCACCCTATTCTCGTCTTTACGGACAACAATTATCTAGAATATTGACGAATAGCTAAATGCCTAAGGCCTTGCCAGGTGATATGATGGGCACTCTTCTTCTCTACATTCAATTTCCATATCACTTATCATCCTGGATCAAAGAAAGGCAAGCCAGATGCTCTCTCCCATATGCTCCAAGATACAGTAGTGCCCACTAAACCTGACACTATCATGCCTGCTTATAACTTTCTGTTACTCCAGACCGATTTAATGTAACAAGCAAAAGCAGCTGTCACTGAACAACCTCTGCCACTGGAGTTACACCTGCAACTTAGAGAGGGCCTTTACTTTCATGGTGTCAGGGCTCCAGGGTATAACCAGAGGTATGTGAACTGACGCAGGGAAACGCAGGCTTCAGATATGTTATAAACAATATAATTTATTAACACTAACAATACATAAACGCAGTGCAATACTAAAACATAGCACAGTGCAAACAAACCAAACCAAACCACCCACATATAACAATACATACAATGCAAGCGTCGTCAGGCAGGCCGGGTCAATAACAATTGGGCAGGTAGGAACAGGAGGAGCAGGCAGAGAGTAGTCAGGTCACGAGCCGGGTACAGCAACTAACGGGCAGGTAGGTACAGGGGGTCAGACAGAGAATGGTCGGAGTCACAAGCCAGGGATCAAACAGGAGAAGTCAGCAGAGGTCCGGATCAGGCAGGGGTCAGCAACAAATCAGTCAGACAGGGACAGGGACAGGAACAGGAACAGGGATGCAGGTAACAAGATACAGGGGCCCAGGAAAAAACACACACCAAGGCAGAGACTGCAGGTCTGGCCATCCCTTAAATACATCTTCATAATCAGCTTCAGGTGTTTGGCTGGCTGCAGGGTTGAGTCTCTGATTGCTGGGAGCACCCGCTGGCCAGCCCTGGTACTGCAGCCCACAAGGCAGGTGAGTCCCACCATTACTGGCAAGTCCATTCCTGACAGTACCCCCCCCCTCAAGGAGCGGCCTCAGGACGCTCCAAACAGTCCTAGCTGGGCAAAATGTTTCACCGCCCGGGTCTGGTAACTGGCGGGATATCAAAGACTGGCACATCGGGCTGGACTCCGGGCAGCGGCACACCGGGCACTCCGGGCAGGACTCCGGGCAGGACTCCGGGCAGAGGCACATCGAGCTGGACTCCGGGCAGAGGCACATCGACATCGAGCTGGACTCGAGAGCTGGGGGCAGAGGCACATCGAGCTGGACTCCGGGCAGAGGCACATCGAGCTGGACCGGGCAGAGGCACATCGAGCTGGGCTCCGAGCAGAGGCACATCGAGCTGGACACCGGATCACCAGGCGGAGCAGCAGGCACCGGGCCACCAGGCGGAGCGGCAGGCACCGGGCCACCAGGCGGAGCGGCAGGCACCGGGCCACCAGGCAGAGCGGCAGGCTCCCCAGGGGAACACAGCAGGCCGGGCCACCAGGCGGAGCGGCAGGCACCAGGCCACTGGGCGGAGCGGAGGGCGCCGGGCCCCCAGGAGGGGCGGGGCGGGCGCCAGGCCCCCAGGAGGGGCGGCAGGCACCGGGCCCCCGGGCGGAGCGACAGGCATCGGGTCACCAGGCATCAGGTCATTTGGCTCGCCAGCGGGCACCGCGTCATCTGGCAAGGCAGTGGGCACCGAGTCACCAGGCACGACAGTGGGTTCCAAGTCAACTGGCATGACCACGGGCACTGGGTCAGACATTGGATCGTCTGGCTCGACAGCGGGCATCGGGTCACCAGGCATCAGGTCATTTGGCTCGACAGCCATTTTATTGGTAATAGGTAAAAAAATAAATTTCCACTCACAAAACGATGAATCTTCCAGCCTCCTACCACATGCTATGGGTGTACTGCCCATATGGGCAGTACACCCATAGCATGTGGTAGGAGGCTGGAAGATTCATCGTTTTGTGAGTGGAAATCTATTTTTTATACCTATTACCAATAAAATTACTGGTTGCACTATGGAGGGTCTCTGCTTGTGTCTTACTATGACCCTGGGAGGAGCTGGCTGCTAAACTGGTGGACGCTGGAGGAGGAAGATATTTTCTAGAGAGTAATCCATACTGATAGGATCGTGTGATCCTGAAAGCGTGCTGGCCCTTGGGGTCTAAGGAAGGAGGTGAGGGGGCATTTTGGCTGTTAAGGATTGTCACGTGTGCATCACGTACACTGCACATAATTTTGCATGAAGAGTGGAGTGTGAAGTTCATCATTAAGCACAGCATCATCAGTATTATTATTATTAACTTTGGACTTTTCTCGTATTTGAACTATCGTTTATTCCTTTGTGCACTTTTTGTGTGGCACTGTTTATTATTAGTATATATGTTATTATAGTATGTATTACTTTATTTTCACGTTTTTGCACGAGATATTCCCCATGAGGGAATACATGCATGACACTGTATATGTATTGAGTATCTTGGATTTATTTTGGGTATTGAGTATATATTGTATTACGGTTCTATTAGATACTAATTCGCACTGCACTCATAATTTTTGCACTGTTTATTCACTTATTTTGGGTATAAGCTTAGTGTCAGCAGCTTATGGTTATAGGGTAGGAGTCCTTGTGAGCGCAGGAGGTTTTTTGTAATAATAATGTGCAGTAACCTATAGCAACCAATCAGCAAGCAGAAATTATGTGTTGTAACCAGTGAGCGGTAATGATAGGCTGTAACCTCTGGCAACCGTTTGCAATTGCTGCATGATCTGCTGTAATAATCTGATTTTGAGTCTACCTGCTATTTTTTTGTATGTCTCAGAGTGGGGGGTTCCAATCAATATTAAAGACAGGCTGCAGTGCTGGTGTACTCGCTATTTTCTTGCATGGTACCCCTGGTCCCATAGATTTCTATTAGGTTGCACATTTTTGCTGCATTTTCTGAAAGTGTGCAAAAAGTCCTGCATGTTGCATTTTTGGTGTGCTTTCGGAAAAACACAACAAAAAACACACAACCCAAAAGGAGTCTATGGGACTGCAACTAAGGAAAACTGCGAGTACACCAGCACTGCAGCCATACTGCAGCACACCAGTGTGCGCCCAAAGGGTTGTACACACTTGCAACAGGTACTGCCATTCCACTGAAAAGTGATCCATGCTCAGGTCACTTTTTTACATAGTTACATAGTTAGTCTGGCTGAAAAAAGACAAAAGTCCATCCAGTTCAACCATTTAAAAAAAAATATATAATCCTATACCCACAGTTGATCCAGAGGAAGGCAAAAAACCCAGCAAAGCATGAACCAATTTGCTCCTGCAGGGGAACAAAAATTCCTTCCTGATCCCCCGAGAGGCAATCGGATATTCCCTGGATTTTTGGATGCATTTGACAGTCAGTGAGGAGGCAATATCACATTTCCTCCCTGCCTGTTTTAACCTACTAAATGCCAATCCCTCCTGGTAATGGCATGGTTCACTTCGAACTCCACCTTATTTCCATAAGTCTCTTTATGCAAAATAAGGTGAGAGCTTGGAGAGTTATGGAAATAAGGTGGAGTTCAAAGTGAATTTCTAAACCTAAGCGGAGCACCCCTTTCAGATTTGGGGATATTGTTAGACCCAGAGACTGGTGGATGTAAGCTACCATAGACAGATCTAAATTTCTGCTGAACCAGCAGAATTTCAACCCATCTATGGGCAGACTGGTTGTACGGAAGTTGATCTACAGATTGACTTCACTACAACCAGCCTGTCTGCTTTTTTTTTGTCAATCACTGCTGACTGCTATAGCTGCCAGCAGTGATCACTGTATTCTGATGACTGGGAAACTTCCCATTGGCAGAACACACCTGAGGAATGGAATTGCACTTTTTGTCTGCACAGCTCAGTACATGGCATCCTTGGTGGGCAGGTGGGCAGGAGATGAAGTGAGCTGGCTCTGGGTAGGGTGGCTGAAGATGGGCTGAGCCTGTGTGAAGGATTGCCTTTCCTGCATATCAGAGCAAATCTCTGCTATTAGCTGCCTGTCAGCTCCCAGCCAGGGAAGACTGACCATTTGGAAACTCTGGCACTGCCCAAGGGCCTGGGATCAGTAGGGGGCCCCATGAGATTCTCCTGGTACATTTTTCATAGGCTTTTTTGAGTTTGGGCAAGGACACAGGGGCCCCATGATCCCCTATTGCCCGGGGGCCCCATGAGTTGTCAGTCCACCCCTGCTCCCAGCTGAAGAGCCAATCCCAGCAGGGCTGTCTTCAGGCCGTGACATCACACAAGCAGCTAACCCTAATGGCAGAACCTCCATTGTAAGCCTATCACATTCCCTACCAGGCATCATTCACTGCTGTCCTTGTTATCTGAACAATCAGTCCATTGACACCTTCATCTCTGTCTGCACCACAACTACAATTGGGGAATGAAGGTAATCAGATCTGCAGCATGAGCTTCTCCTGATCTGCTGCTCTTCATGGGGCAAGTCCACCCAAAACTAGCCCCAGCCGACAAAAAAAGAACAAACTGCACACAGAAAGCAATAGGCCAATGGGGAAAAATCTCCTGTGACTGGTCCTGCATTCCGCATGCACCGCCTGGACTGGGAGGCGGGATTAATAACAGGTGCCAGGTGGGAAGTCCTAACTGAAGCCTGGTACTGAGCATCCATAGTGTTGTGTTACGTCTTCCACACAGGAAAACACAGGAGGGAGGCCAGTAAGAGAAGAGCTGAGATATGACGTTACTTATGTCACATTGTAATAACCCTGCCACCCCTAAATCTGCTCCACTGCTGCCAGGTTCAGCATCAGGCCCAAAATGCTCTTAATCGGGCCCTGGGGGCAGATCCGCCAGCGTGTGCTTTTATTACCACCTGCCATCAACACAGGAGGCAGCCTGGGGGACAGTGGGACTTGCGCATTTAGCTTGCTGCCCTCCCTGTGACTCTATGCTCCTCTGCTTGCTTGGCTTGCCCAGTGGTGTGGTGTTCTCACCAGAGAAGGTCCACACTCCACAGGGAGTGCTGTGTGAGGCAGCAGTGACAGCACAGTCTCTCCTCCTCATCTTCCTGCAGTCTCTTTGTTCTATTTGCTGGGTGTGGGGAAGGGGCAGGCTCTTTGTTTCAGTCTTTCTGGGGGCAATCATGAGGAGCAGTCTCTGAGAGACAGCTCCATATGGTTGCCCCAACAGAGAGAGGCTGCTTCACAATGACTGCCCCATTGAGAGAGAGTGTTTCTCTCAGTGGTGGCAATTTGCAGTCTCTCTGTGCAGGCAATGTGGAGTGGTCTTTCTCTGTGCAGGCAATGTGGAGTGGTCTTTCTCTGTGTAGGCAATGTGAAGTGGTCTCTCTCTCTGTGTAGGCAATGTGAAGTGGTCTCTCACTCTCTATATAGGTAATGTAAAGCAGTCTCTTTCTGTGCGGGCAATGTGAATTGGTCTCTCTCTGTGCAGACAGTGTGAAGTGGTCTCTCTCTCTGTGTGGGCAATGTGGAGCAGTCTCTCTCTCTGGGAAATGTGGAGCAGTCTCTCTCTCTGGGCAATGTGGAGCTGTCTCTCTCTGTGCAGGCAATGAGGAGCGGTCTCTCTCTCTCTCTCTGTGGGAAATGTGAAGCAGTCTTTCTGTCTCTCTCTCTCTCTCTCTCTGTGTAGGCAATGTGGAGCAGTCTCTCTCTCTCTCTCTCTCTCTCTCTATGGGCAATGTGGAGTGGTCTCTCTCTGCGTAGGCAATGTGGAGTGGTCTCTCTCTGCGTAGGCAATGTGGAGCTGTCTCTCTCTCTTTCTCTCTATGGGCAATGTGGAGCGGTCTCTCTCTGTGTAGGCAATGTGGAGCGGTCTCCCTCTCTCTCTATGGGCAATGTGGAGCGGTCTCTCTCTGTGTCGGCAATGTGGAGCGGTCTCTATCTGTGTAGGAAATGTGGAGCGGTCTCTCTCTGCGTAGGCAATGTGGAGCTGTCTCTCTCTCTCTCTCTCTCTCTATGGGCAATGTGGAGCGGTCTCTCTCTGTGTAGGCAATGTGGAGCTTTCTCTCTGTGTAGGCAATGTGGAGCGGTCTCCCTCTCTCTCTATGGGCAATGTGGAGTGGTCTCTCTCTGTGTCGGCAATGTGGAGCAGTCTCTATCTGTGTAGGAAATGTGGAGCGGTTTCTCTCTCTCTCTGTGGGCAATGTGGAGTGGTCTCTATCTGTGTAGGCAATGTGGAGTTGTCTCTCTCTCTCTGTGATCAATGTGGAGCGGTTTCTATCTGTGTAGGCAATGTGGAGCGGTTTCTATCTGTGTAGGCAATGTGGAGCGGTCTCTATCTGTGTAGGCAATGTGGAGTGGTCTCTCTCTCTCTCTGTGGGCAATGTGGAGCAGTCTCTATCTGTGTAGGCAATGTGGAGCGGTCTCTATCGGTAGGCAATGTGGAGCTCTCTCTCTGTGGGCACTGTGGGGCAGTCTCTATCTGTGTAGGCAATGTGGAGCGGGCTCAATCTGTGTAGGCAATGTGGAGCGGTCTCTCTCTCTCTCTCTCTCTGTGGGCAATGTGGAGCGGTCTCTATCTGTGTAGGCAATGTGGAGCAGTCTCTATCTGTGTAGGCAATGTGGAGCGGTCTCTATCTGTGTAGGCAATGTGGAGCAGTCTCTCTCTCTCTCTCTCTGTGGGCAATGTGGAGCAGTCTCTATCTGTATAGGCAATGTGTTGCTGTCTCTCTCTCTGTGGGCAATGTGGAGCAGTCTCTCTCTCTCTCTCTCTCTCTGGGCAATGCGGAAACGTCACTATCTCTGTGTGGGCAATGTGCAGCAGTTTCTCTCT